ACATAGTATTCCGAATACCCCGAAGAGACCTCTCTAATAGCATTTACAGGAGAAAACCTGCAGCACACCGACTAGCATGACACCATATAAAATAGTTTGTAGTGGTCAAACTCAAATCTTAAGATCACGGTTGACCTGAGGTAACTCCTCGACCCCAGGATGGCAATAACGCCAAGTTGAGAGAAGATTTGTCAAATAAACATGCCTCGGGTGGTATCTAATATGTTTAAACATTTTGAACATTATTTTTGATCTAAATTTTCACCTGAATAACGATTTTATGTTCCATGAGTAACACATACATATAGAGAATATGTAAATTGAAGACTCATTTTTATGATTCCCAAAAACCTATATAACGAAATGAATCATATAACTTAATTAAAAACTAAAAAAATACATTAATATAGTACCAAAAAAGAACAATTTGTCCAGTTATTTAACTAATAAAAAAAAGTTGTGCGTGACATGACAAAAGTTTAAAACCAAAATGGCACACTTTCAATTTTAACTACCAAAAAAGCCGAAAAAAAAGAAACAACCTAATAGTAGCAAGTATGTAGTTAAAATAAAGTTAATTTAAATAAAGAAGAAAAGAAACAGAAATAAAAATTAATCCATATTATTAAATTTGACAATATAATTAAATAAACGCAAAGAAAAGTAAGACACAGTGGCAACAACAAATAGGCTTTATAAATACAAATATCTTTATTATACAAATAATAAATAAGATATTTACTTAAATAAAATATAACTTTGCCTTTTTAAACAAACGTTTTCTTTGAGTGTAAACAATGTCGTCGAAAATAGAATCAACACACAATGTGTGTGTGTATTTTGTAAACGCACATATTTCGTAGATACAATTAATAGCCATAGTGGAAATATTTATACCGAAAAATTGTGTGAATATTTTGCTGGTATTTTTATGTGAATTTTTATTGTTATTCCGTTTTTATTTCTATTTATTTAAATTCATAAATAATATTTTGGTTGTGATTTAAGGTGTAACTTTTAGTTTTAGTTTTAATACGAATTTTCTTTCTTTTTTTTGTTAATTTTTTTGGGTTGTAGGTGAAAGTTGTATGTGAATCATATGAAAAAATACCCAACGAATATAAAACAAAAGAAATCTTAATTTGGCGGAAATAAGTTAACCTTAAAAATCTCAAAAAAAAAGTAAAACTTCAAGCAAACAAAATACTTTGTATTAACCCGTTATGTGTATGTGGAAACTAAAATAATTTCTTAAAAATAACAGCCAATTAAAATGAATTACAATTACGTATTTATTATTTTACATAATTTATTTATCACTGCTGCTGAACAAACACAAAAAACCATGAAAATCAAATTAATTTCTACTCATTAAATTGTTCAACTACGAGTTTTATTTTCATTTTCATTTCTCGTAAAAAGAAAATCATTTTACATTTCTTTATTTACATTGATTTGTTTTTTCATTGTCAGTGTTAAAATGTTATTTAAATTTTAATTAACAAAATTTTTGTCGAACAAAAATTTATTACACTTTTCACCAAAATAAATTTTTTGGGCCAAAAAGTTTTTTTGTTTTGTTTTAGCTGACAACACATGTCACCAATCAGTTTGTTTGTGAGATTTTGAAAACAAAAACAAAACGAAAAAATAATCACAAAAATATTTACGAAACATAATGCAAGCGGGGTTAGAGAAAAAAAAATTATGTATATTACCGTAATATTTACTCTCACAAATTTACGAAAATTGCATATTTATATTATTTGTATAAATATTGCGGCATTTTAAAAGAGAAATCGAGAGCAATGAGAAATATTTCAAAGAGCAATTTAGTTATTTTGCCTCTTAAATTGTTTTAAATACTTGTGAAAATGAAACACATGGTAAGGTATTGGTGAGACAGCGTTGCCAGAATTACATTTGTGTGTTCATATATGTAAACATTTTTTAGATTTTTTTATAAACAAAAGTTTGTTTCTATGGAACGAGTAGATACATTTACATCGGGAAATCAAAAAATATAAACTATTTGAAAGCGTTCGGTTTTCAAACTAGAAAAAACGTTTAAACGGTGTTTTTCTCATATATGGATTTTAAAGTCGACTGTTTGACCTTTCACAGGCTATAACAAATTTTATAAAGAAAGATGTCTTAACGCCATTATAGGGTCTTAAATATGGCCAAAAACGGGAGTTTTTAAAATTTCATGACACGATCACTGGAAAATCTGATGTAGTGTATAACTTCTGAGGCCAGGTTCGGATTCAGCTTGAACATTTAGCAAAGTAGACTTTTATCTTTTTCAGTTTTACATTTTGCTACCCTGTGTAATTGACCCTAATTAAGAAAAAACTCTTTAAAAAACAAGTTATTGAAAAAATTTGATCAATCGCTCTTGAATTCTAAAGTGATCCTAAAGTCTCTATAAAAGGCCCTCTTCCAATAATCACCCGATAATGTCACACGATAAGGTCAATTATATCACTGAAATCCATTTGACAAAATCTTTATACTTATAACAACGTTGGTATTAAGATTTGCTGTGTTGCAAAAATGGTCAGAATCAAAACAATTCATAGGATCTGGAATTCGTGAATAGTCAAAACCGATTTTTTTTAATTTATGAGAAAATATAATATTATTGGAGTACATGATTCCTTTAGTAGTCCCATGTAATGCAGGCATGGATCATGTTTATTATTATTGAAAACAACAAGGTCCATAGCCTGCATTACATAGGACCATGTTGGGGATCATGTACTCCCATAATTTCAGCAAGAGACTAGTTTTGGGACCCTATCACTGAAATCCATTTGACAAAATCTGACAAAATCTTTATACTTATAACAACGTTGGTATTAAAATTTGCAATGTTGCAAAAATGGTCATAATCAAAACAATTCATAGGATCTGGAATTCGTGAATAGTCAAACACGATTTTTTTTAATTTATGAGAAAATATAATTTTATTGGAGTACATGATCCCTTTGGTAGTCCCATGTAATGAAGACATGGATCATGTTTATTATTATTGAAAACAACATATTCCATAGCCTGCATTACATAGGACCATGTTGGGGATTATGTACTCCCATAATTTCAGCAAGAGACTAGTTTTGGGACCCTATCAATGAAATCCATTTGACAAAATCTGACAAAATCTTTATACTTATAACAACGTTGGTATTAAAATTTGCAATGTTGCAAAAATGGTCATAATCAAAACAATTCATAGGATCTGGAATTCGTGAATTGTCAAACCCGATTTTTTTTTAATTTATGAGAAAATATAATTTTATTGGAGTACATGATCCCTTTAGTAGTCCCATGTAATGCAGGCATGTATCATGTTTATTATTATTATTGAAAACAACATGGTCCATAGCCTACATTACATAGGACCATGTTTCAGCAAGGGACTAGTTTTGGGACCCTAGGACATCACAATGTTAAATAGAGTATGTTTTTTTATATATTTGGATTAGTTTGGGACCAGTCCTTTGAGGAGTACTCTTTTCACGCATTTGCGGAGTAATCTCAATTTTTGCAGGGATCAAACTACTACAAGGAGTTCAGCGTATATGCTGCTTGGGTATAAGTGATGCCTTGACTACTATATCAACCAGGCCCTGGAAACTTTACTACCCATTTAAACATACATATCTCAGATATGAGGCGGCATTTATATATACACAATATCGGAGGTGCCCGATCGCATACCAGATATAGAATATGTCGAGAACTTTAAAACATTACGCAAATACCTGCAGGAATCACTTACTACATGGATGGCTTTAAATTGGTGGACAAAGTGGGCTGGGGTTCTATATTAAAGACTCAAAAACCAGTTTCTAAGCAATAACAGAAAGCTTTAATGGGATTATAATAAATATGGCGCCCACAGGGCTTAAAATATTTACTCGTATGGGGTGACACTAACGAGGCCAGGACGAAAAGCCTTCTCAAAATGAGAGAGTCTAAGGATAGCATGGTGGTACGTATTTTAAGTGGACACACAGGTTTACGGGCACAGCTAATTGGACGTGTGGATTCAGACGAATGTAAAGCATATAGAGAGCACAGTGAAGCTCTGAAGCACTTTTTTGCCATTGTCAGGTATTTGTCAAATTAGATTAAAATACCTTGGGTGTGATTTTATTCCGGATATAACATCATATCACGAACACGGATTGGAAAATTCATAGGAATTACGTCCAGGACCAGTGGCCTAGTTGTATTTCTTCGGTTTTAATGAAAAGATATCCTCCCATCAACCTAACCCAAACACGAAGAGATTGTAACGATTTTAGAATGTAAGAGTGCAGACGTAGGAAAACCACTCGGCAGAGTTTGGGTAAAGAATTGTGTGCTCTATTAAAAGCAGGAGTCTTTAAAGTATTTTGCATACAATTGAAATATATTCGCGCGACAAAGAAGCCATTGACTAAGTAGCCACAGAATCAATCAGTTTTGCTTTACCAAGAATTATGGTAATCCCGCTCGCTTTAACAAAACTTAATAATATTAGAGTTCCAGACTGGGAATTATTCAATAACGATTTAAATAATATTAAATATTATATTCAAACTTGCTTTTCTTTTATCGATTAATTAGTTTTTCAACTCCTATATAAAATCTGGCAACTACTTATAATTTATGAGCACACATACATACATATATAACCAAAACAAAGGTAAAATAAACAACAATAACAATAAAGTTTTGTCTACTTCTTCTTCTTCTGCTTAATTTTTGGCATTGTATAATTTTTTGACAGGTACCAAAAACTAAACACTAACTTTTTTCAAATAAAAATAAATCTTTGATACTAATTAGTAACAATGAAACGAAATTTGAAAAAAACTCATAAAAAGAGATGATAAATGTATAAGATGAAGGAAGAAAAGACTTAAATAATTAACATGCATGTGAAACAATAATTTATTATAAAAAAGAAATGAATTTAAGAACAAAACAGAATTAATAAAATGTCTTACCTTGTTTTTTTCAAATATTTCTGGGAGAAGAGATGCAAATGTAGGGGGTCTCTTCTGTTATTCTTTGTTGTAGTAAAGATTTCTACTGCTGCTGTAGTTGTTCTCCACAAAATTTAAATGTCAAATGTTAAAATTAACAAACACACTTTTTTTATATTTCTTCAAAAGAATAATTATGTGTTGGCTGTTTTTTGTTTAACTTTTTTTCTTGTTCATATATAAATTTTTCATATTTTATTGATTTTGTTATTTTTTATTTTTCTTTAACACTTTAGTTTCTTTGATATTTTTACAAATCGTTGTAGAAAACTGCTAAATAAAAGTGTTGCAAAGAAAATGTATATGAATTATTTATAGATAAAAAAATACGTAATTTCTATATTTTATGTAATAATGATAAATAAATATAACAAGCAGCTTTAGAGAAAAAAAGGAAAGGGAACCATTGTGATTACACTGAAACACTTTTATTTAACTTGTTTGTGTTTTTTTTTTCAATATTTTTTTACTATTTTTCTTTTACGAGTATTTTCCCACAAGGAACTACAACATAAACTGCCAAATATTTATATTAAACCAACAATAGCAACCCAAACAGGCAGCCAGCCAAGCAGTGAACCAGCCAACCAACCAACCACCTTCATCAACATGAATTATGGACTGACTGGTTAAACAACAACATGGTTATTGTTTGAGATACAGAGCAATATGTATTTTCCAAATAAAATAAAGAGTGTTTCGTTTTTCGTGCCATTCTACTACTGCTGCTCTACTCGATGACTTTCCATGTGCATGTATTCGAAATAACAACAATAACAAATTATGAGAGAAGTACAACAAATAATAATATCGAATTACCAGGGGAAGTATTCGTATTATAATGATTTATCCTATAAATCTACAACATTGATTCCATCAGAGAGATCATTGATTAGTTCTAGACAAAAATCTTGGTTTAACCAGCAGTACATAATTGCAATCAATTCCACCGAGATGGCGTAATATTTAAAAAAACGAGGTCTTTCTATGTGCTACGGTTCTTACTCCTCCTAGGGACAGTAAAACCTTTCGATGAGGATGACCTAACATTCACTGATTCGGTTGATAAAGTTAACCTTGTAGGTGAAGGTTTGCCAGTGACTTTGACAAATATATTCCTTCAAACACATGCCTTGGTTTAACCAGAAGTACATAATTGCAATGAAATCCACAGAGATGGCGTAATATTTAAAAAACGAGGTCTATCTATGTGCTACGGTTCTTACTCCTCCTAGGGACAGTAAAACCTTTCGGCGTGTGTAAAAGATAATGCTAATTCTTCAATTCCAGCGCTTTTCAAGGACGACCTAACATTCACTGATCCGTTTGATAAAGCTAACTTTCTAGGTGAAGGTTTTCCAGTGACTTTGCAAATATATTCCTTTAAACGCGTGTCGATAAAAGAGTTTAAGCAAATCTTAACATAAATAAGACTCCTGGACCTGACATGCCGACTCTAGCCTTGAAATAGTGCTCTACAACGCTAGCTCGTTCATTAGCAAATCCTCTCAATATTCTATACTATACTCCTATGCCTTTCTCGGGTTTGTTTTGCTCTCCATTACCAGTATCTCTGGTGGGATTCGAACCCACGAAATCGGGTCTGACAATCAAGAAAAATAACTACTAACCTACACAGAATATGTCGGAAACTTTGAAATAATGATCCCAGATAGAAATGTTGCTGCACACATGACTCTAAATTGGGGGACAAAGTGGTCCTGCGTAAATTGGACTAGAATACATATGGCGCCCACAGAGCTTCACATATTTACCGACAGTCAGAAGGTAATTAGGGCGATATCAGATGATAAAGTTAAATCTAAGACCTATTGGATTGTCAGCAAGCTCTAACCGAATAATCTCCCAGAGGTTAGGTTTACATATGGGTACCTGGCCACTCGGGAGTAGTCGGCAATATATGATATGTTGTAGTTTTAAAAGGGAAGGGGGCTCGAGGTAGGTAACCAGACGAACGCAAGACCATTTGACGAAACGAGGGCAGAATTGAGAGAAACCCATAACTCCATAAAATTCTGAAGCACTTTCTTTGCCATTGTCAGGCTTTCGCCGAAATTAGATCTAAATATCTTGGGAGTGATATTATCCCTCACGAACACTGATAGGAAAATTCTTAGGAAACTGAGTTTCTAAATATCGGACGATAATACATTCAGTACATATTATATAAGGAGTCACCGGAGACACAATGTTAAATATTTAAAGCAAATATTTACTTAACGACCGGCAGTATGGCTAGAGGTCGCTCCACTAGAGACCTTCTAACTTTCAGTTCAAATAAATGGTGTCATTCCATTTAACATTTAGGTGAAAGTAAAGTGGTGACTCTAGATATTTCAAAGGTGTTCGACTTATTTCAAGCTTTTTCAGATATCTCAATATACAAGATGTTATAAGATCGTATCAAACGAGTTGAACAATAATTCAAGGGTACTGCAAGGCTCGGTTCTTTCTCTTAATCTATTTCATATTTTCCTATACAACTTCTATGTCAAAATTCCAACTCTAATTACTATCTAACCGATGACAGTTATATCTGTTATTCTTATTTATTTATTTATTTATTTATTTTGGAGAATGAGGCAATGGTGCCTAAAACAGTGTAAGACAACCATACGATCTTCTTTTCTCTTATATATGGACCGGAGCTTTGAAGTATATATTTAGGAGCCACTCGACTATATACAGGAGAGGGCTAAGGTAATTTTTGGTTTGATACACTATAAAGTTGTCGCAACATGAGGTAAATTTTACAATTTTATTGCCATTAAAATGGGATGTGTTCTTCTGAAATTGTAGTCTTTACTAATAAGGGTCATAAGATGATATTCTTAAAGCGTTAATAGTGGATCATCATGTATAAAAGGAATATCAGTTTTCTCAACAGTTTCATCGAAGGACGATCCTTTAATTGGCACAATCGTTTACAATTTCAGTTTTCCGAATACCCTCATGTCCTGGAACGCAACTAGACCAAAGGACATCTGAGCTGTAACGGGGAGCCTTGGTAGATGCAAAACTTTCTACGAAGTTATTAATATTCGACGACTTAAATCCGTAGATGTTAAAGAACCATAATTTAGAAATCGGCAATGAAAGGTGTCCGGTTTTAATAAAACACTTTTGTTTGAAAATTCAAAATATATGTACCCTCAAATTCGACACAGTCAACGGCAGTAAGTCCTAGATCGTTCAAAACTTCAATATCCAATCGCCAAAGGCATTTTAAGTCGTATTAATTTCTGGAACTTTTAATATTATACCTCAAAAAATCAAAATATGTCGTTCTAGAAAATGTTCAATGAAGAATAGAACTGTTCAAAAAGTAATGAAAACTTAGTACATATATAGTATTATAGATCCAATTAAAGTCTAACTAAATACATTATTCGGATCTAATTAGGCAATTGTGCAAATAATTAGTTCTAAATATAATAAGAAATAAAACATCAAAATCCATTCTAACGAGACATCAGTGTGATTATATGAAAATATGTATATAAATTTCTATCACTTGCTACGAATCAATATCTGTCATATTTTGCTACGTTTTCCCCAACGACACTCTCCCCCGCTATGGTTTGATAGCTGCACATAGAAATATACTACTTGTTGTTATAAAAAGGCAACAATAAAAACCTAAACCTCAATGTTGTAAAGTACAATACAAGTATGAATTATATGGGTATATGTATGGATGTATAAATGTTGCATGACTGTGTGTGTTGCATGTAAGTATACAGAGTATTTAGGTTTTCTTTCTTTTAAATTGAGGCTAATCCATTTTTAAGATGTTGTATTTCTTTCGGTCCGTATTATACTACACATGTTCAAACACTGCAACAATCTACAAATAATTAGTAGCAGAACGTATGCGAATACATGATAGAAAAAGTTTTTTTTAATTTTTAAAAAAAAAATTTAAAAAATAAAAATCATACACGATAACAAGTAGATGAAATATCATGCAAACTCTCGCACACATGAACAATAAGTTTTAGGTACGAAATATTCTAAGGTTGGGTGACAACAAAAAAAAATATCAGGGAACTAAACAATTTTTAGAAATTTTTTTATACTTGGCGCCTGGTATGCGTGCATGACCATAGAAAGAAGTGAAGTGAATTTACGTGTTAGTGAGTTTAGCTATTATAAATATTTTTTTTTTTTTATATAAAAGAAACTAATTTTTTAAATTAAACATAAAATTATTATTATGGTCAATATGTATGAAGAAATTAAATTAGATTATTAAATCAAAATTATGCCAAAAATTATTTTAATGCTGAATTAAATATTCTATACAAAAGCTCGAGGTTCTTTTCAGAATTATAGATTAGTGTGTGTTGTCATTGCAGAGAAACTTCTAGTTTGTTTGGCAAATATCTCAAGAAAAGTATAATAAATAATTTATTTCAATTAATTTCTCTATGTATTATTTATTATTGCTGCAATTGCCTGAGGTTTGCACCCGAGAACATGAATTGTTTTAAAGATATAAGCCCAAGGAGTGTTTGTTTATATGATTAGTTTATTTGGTATAATCATTACTGAAACATTTTAATTACAAATTTCGAAATGCGAAAGAGTTATATTGTTGTCGAAACGTTCTCATTTTTTTAGAATAGAGGGGGTTCTTTCAGAGATGTTCGTGTCACTATATAGATTTGCAATGAGAAATCTTGTAAACGTTTTAACTCGACTTGACTTCATTGTATATAGTTAATCCCCATGATTCTAGGAAACCTTATGAATACTGGTTATTTAGAGACCTTTTACTTTAATATACCGCTATCTTTAAGGTGTTTTAGAACAGCACTCAGGTCAAGACCCGTACTTAAGCAGTGCATTGTGTTGGAACTAAGAATATAGGTAAAGGGAGTAGTGTTTTTGGACATTTGATTTAAATTTCTTTACATCGAAAGTGGCGGGGAATATTTTTGCAGGAAGATTGTTACGAACGGTGCGGCTTAAGAATGCATTTTACCTGTAATATGTTGTGTGATCCACTGGCCAATCGACTGCAAATGGGGAGTTCTTGATGAAAGACTCGTAATGCGTAAACATATACGGGTATTGGCAATTACATAGTCCCCTAATTTCAGAGGAACACATTGTATTATAATATCAAAACAATAGTGAAATAGTCCCCACATTGAAATGGTTCCAGATAATCTGAAGAATTAGATACCCTGTATGCTTTATTTTACTCTGGCCCATTTATTAGAGTTGTATTGCATTTTTGCTTGGAT